TTAAAAAAAAAAAAAAAAAAAAAAAAAAACCCACAAAAAAAAACAAACAAACAAAAAAAAAGAAAGACAAATTCTAGCTTCATTTCTTTGTGGATCACGGTGGAAACATTTCTATCTTGGTAGAAGTTTATCATTAACAACTTTATCTTTGGCAGCTGTATAGTTTTTAAGTTAAAATGATGATGGTGCACTTTTTACTGTACTTCTCACTTCTATGTTGTTGTTGTTATGGTAATGATTGATGGATTGATGATGACGTAGCAATTAATGAAATTTCCAACAACATGAAACTGCCTATTTATGCCATTTAGTGGGTGGGGTCTCTTTTTTACACACTCTAATTGTCCTCTTTAGTTTGTCCTTTGATCGATTTGATGGTGATTTGTTTTTATGTCGTCATCCTTTATTCTCTTTTTGGGTGAAGAGCATGCGCACAGTGCAGATAATTAAAAAAAAAGAAAAGAAAAGAAACATTCATAAGAATAAAAAAGAGGAAAAAAAAAGCATCAAAAGATGCCGCGTTTCTGCCTTTTCATAAATTCATAAATTTTAGGTTTTTATTTTATGGACACAGATATAAGACCTTGGTTTTTTAATTTATTAGATAATTAACTTCCTGTTTCAACAAATATTTAAAAAAAAAATTCACTGTACTGAACATTTTCCTGCTCTGGTCCAGAGGACGTACACAGCTGTGCAAAAGTTTTAGGCAGGTGAAAACGTTCATCAAGTCCGTTTTTTTTTTTTAATTTAATTTTTTAAACTATTTAAAGCAAATGTAGAAACACAGAAGTTCTTTTGTTTTTATCAGTTGTTATTTTTATTTAAAGAAACCCCAGCGGTCCGAACCTGAATTTTCACTCTTAAAGTCAATGTCAAACATAAAGAAAATATTAAGTATTAAATATTATCCAGTACATGTTTCTGTTTCTCAATGTTTGCTTTAAATATGTGGGGAAAAAAACTGCAAAAAAAAAAAAAAAAAACTGCGGTAAAGTGAACGTAAAGGCCTGCCTAAAACTTTTGCACCACGCTGAAGGAAACGACGTCCTGGGACCAGAAGGACGGGAAAGAGCGGGATTCAAACTGGGCCATATGGGCTGAGGGGGCGGGTCCTAGTGACATCACTGGTCTGTGATTGGTTGTTGGAGTTCATTCCAGGGCTCTTACTTTGGCAGGACTGAGGTGAAGGGACTAAAAAAAGGCCGTGAGTCACAGAGAGAAAAATACAGACTGACAGAACGACCACGACGACGACGGCGACGACAGCGACGACAGCGACTGTGTGTTGTTTTCACTGGACGAACATCAGAAATTACGACCTGAAACCACAGTCCTGTCACGGACCTGGACCTGGGGAAGGTTCCTGGAGACCAACAGTACCAGGAACACAGGTCTGGGGGGAGGGGGGGTCTGAACCTTAGCCTAGCAGTGGTAACATAGCCTAGCGGTGTTACCGTAGCCTAGCGGTGTTAGCGTAGCCTAGCGGTGTGAACAGACCATCCTTGTAGCCCGGCTGGAGTCCACTGTTAGTTTTCATTCATCAAGGAAAAAAAAAACCTGTTCTGTCTGGAGCTGAAACGACCAATCAGAGTCCAACAGAGGGAACTTTTTCCCTCCTGCCCTCTACTCCTCAATAGCCCCATTTTTCTGCCTCACCTTGTCTCCCCTCACTCCCCCTTCCTCCTCCCCCCTCTGTACACTGTCAGCACCCAGACTGATAAAACCGTCCGGTTCGATGCCTTGTTTACAGAATTAGCCAGGCTAAAGTGGGACATGTATCTGATGCTGCATATTAACGCTGAATACAAACACCAGGTCACATGCAAATAAATTGTTGGCAGCCATTATCACCAAACACACACACACACACACATTCACAGCAACACACTCCTCTGCTGTCAAACAAGCACCCGTCCACACACACACACTCATACACACACTCATACACACACACGCCCAATCCAAACACAGCGTTATTTATGGCGCGGTCGTCCGCCTCCACTTACGTTATTACGGACCTGTTCACGCCGCCTTCCATCATCATCACGGCGACGACTCCAGGTCCGATGGTTTCCATATGGGAAGATCAAACGCCGAGCGTGCACGACCTGCACGTGCACGTGCACGGCGCTCACTCACTCTTTCGGACGAAGTGTAAACTCCTCGGGACAG